AAAAAGAAACCACTAGCCAGACGTCTAATAGTTCTTTTTTGGCTTCTATTGGCATGTTCGGGACATTTCCCTGTTTGCAAGAAATTCCTAATGTTTAGGTACCACGGCTCACCGTCTGATTCTGCTTCCACAGTGTTACAATAGCCATGCTGGTCCCGAAGTTGAATCTCCAAGGGAGTAATACAAGTGTTTCCAGGATATGGAAGCATTGAGGCCAAGTAGCCAAGGCATCTGCCAATTCATTATGAATCTGGGGATGTATCTAAACTCGATGGACCTAAACCTTTTGCTAAGATCCTCCACACATTGTTTGTAGGGAAGAAGCTTGAGGTCTCGAGTTTTCCATTCGCCTTGAGCTTGCCTAATAAGCAAATCAGAATTTCCCAACACAATCAATTCTTGCACACCCAAATCTATTGCCATATTTAGACCCATGATGCAAGCTTCATACTCTGTTGTGTTATTTGTACAGAAGAAACAAAGTCGAGCTGTTGCAGGGTAATGTTGTCCCGTGGGCGATATGAGAATTGCCCCAATCCCTGTGCCCTTTTTGTTGATTGCTCCATCAAAGTATAATTGCCAGGCCTGGTTTTCATCTGGATCTACTTCTTCAACTGAGTTAATCTCTTCATCTGGAAAATATGTATCCAGTGGTTCGTAGTCGCCATCGACTGGATTCTCTGCCAAGTGATCTGCCAGAGCTTGAGCTTTCATTGCAGTTCGAGTGATATATATAATGTCAAATTCAGTGAGCAAGATTTGCCATTTCGCGAGTTTGCCAGTTGGCATTGGCTTCTGAAAGATGTACTTCAAAGGATCCATCCTAGATATGAGGTAAGTTGTGTAGGACAAAAGGTAATGCCTTAACTTTTGAGCTACCCAAGTTAGGGCGCAACATGTCCTTTCCAAGAGGGTGTACTTGACCTCGTAACTAGTGAATTTCTTGCTCAAGTAGTAGATAGCTTGCTCCTTCCTGCCTGTGGAATCGTGTTGACCAAGAACGCACCCAAAGGAATTATCTGTCACTGAAAGATATAGAAAGAGAGGCCTATCAAGTTCAGGCGGGACCAATACGGGAGGTTTGGACAAATATTCCTTGATTTTTCAAAAGCTTGTTGACAATCATCCGTCCATCTGACAGCAACATCCTTTTTCAAAAGTCTGAAAATGGACTCACAAGTGATTGTGAGTTGAGCAATAAACCTGCTAATGTAGTTCAACCTCCCAAGAAGACTCATGACTTCGGTCTTATTTTTTGGGGGTGGCAAATCTCGAATGACTTTTATTTGGAAGGATCCAATTCGATTCCCCTTGTACTGACAATAAAACCCAGAAGTTTTCCAGATGGAACTCCAAATGCACAGTTTGCTGGATTAAGCTTGAGATCATATCTTCGCACTCTTTCGAAGAATTTTCTCAGATCTTGCACATGGTCAGCTTGTGTTTTAGACTTGATAATTACGTCATCGACGTATACTTCGATTTCTTTATGCATCATATCATGAAACATTGTGGTCATAGCCCTCATGTAAGTTGCCCCAGCATTTTTAAGACCGAATGGCATGACCCTATAGCAATAAGTCCCCCATGGAGTGGTGAAAGCAGTTTTCTCAGCGTCCTCTTCGTCCATCAAGATTTGATGATACCCCGCATAGCAGTCCACAAATGATTGAATTTCGTGTCTGACACAATTATCCACTAGAATGTGGATATTAGGCAAGGGAAAATTGTCTTTTGGACTAGCTTTGTTCAAATCTCGATAGTCAACACAAACTCTTGTCTTTCCATCCTTTTTCGGCACAGGAACAACATTTGCCAACCAAATTGTGTAACGAATGGTTTGGATCACATTTGCATTTAGTTGTTTCATGATTTCTTTCTTGATTTTTTCACTCACGTCCGGTTTGAATTTTCTTTTTTTTGTTGGACGGGTGGAAAATCAGGATGAGTGGGCAACTTATGGACTACTAGATCAACACTCAAACCTGGCATGTCATCATAGGACCAAGGAAACACATCTTTGTATTCAAACAAAAGTTGTATTATGGCATCCCTAATTTCCTTCTTGACAAGAAGACTTATTTTTATTTCTTTGACTTCCTCATTACTTCCCAAATTGATGGCCTCAGTTTCACTAAGATTAGGCTTAGGTTTGTGCTCAAACTGTTCCAATTCCCTATTAATTTCCCTAAAAGCCTCTTCTTCATCATATTCAACCTCTCGACTCGGGGATTCAAGAAATAACAACTCTTTAAGATCTGGGAGTGAATTCCACATGCATGTCATGTTATCAAAGCCGGCATTTACAGAACTGAAAAAATGGAGAATAAGAATCAGGGGAGGGAAAAGAAAAAGTTTTACTATGAAACTGGAATTTCATTTCATTGGAATTAAAAAAAAAGATAGAAGGGTTGACATTAATATAAAATACTTTCAAACTTTCGGATCACAACCCTGACAAAAACAAAATACAAAGAGTAGCAAAACAAACTACCAAGACTCCTTCCTTATGGGGAAAGGAGTGGCTTCCCAATTGCTTAGCTCAACACCTGAGCCCACGAGCTGCACATCGGCATGACTTGTACCTTCACCAACTTGAACCATGTTTACTTCACAAAACAACTGACTGAGATCCTGAATAACTTCTTCAATGTCTTCATGAGTAAAAGAAGCTTCCATTTCTGGACCCTGAGACTTGATAAAGGATGATAAATATGGGGAATCGGTTGTGGCAACGCCCAATCAGTCCCTTTGTGGTTATTACTCTCATCTTCATTTCTCTTGCTTTGTTTGTATCCGAGGCCAGAGGTGCTTTGGTTCCCAAAAAGAGTAATGGGATCCACAATTCCTTGAGAACATAGTCCCAAACCTTTACTAGGCTGATAACCATATTTGAGCATGGTCGTTGCTACCATTGAAGAGGAAGAAGAGAGACATGGTTGGATAATGGGGTCTCCTTCTCTAAAGCGATTGACTGATACGGCCTCAAAAGACTGGTAAACAATGGAATCACATCCTTCTTTTGCCTCAATGTATGGAATGGAGGGATCTCTGTAAATAGGTAAATCATCTTCCCCATGCACAATGATTTCCTGATTGTTGTGTTCAAACTTAACAACTTGATGCAGAGTTGATGGGTCTGCCCGAGCCTCTGTCAAGGCTAATTTTCAAGTTTTGCAGCGTAGAGAGAGGACATATGTCTACCCCGGATCCCCCATCTATCATGACCCTCTTTACATAGTACCCTTCATATTTCACTGTAAGAAGCAATGCTCTGTTGTGTCCAGCTCCCTCTGTGGGCAACTCATCATCAGTGAAAGTGATGGTGTTTGACTCAAAGATGCGCTTGGCCATTTTCTCTAACTGATTTACCGTGGTCTCCTTCGATACATGTGCTTCATTCAAAATCTTATTCAACACACGACGATGTTCTTCTGAGTGCAGGAGTAGAGACAACAATGAAATTTGTGCCGGGGTTTTCTTCAATTGTTCCACAACAGAGTAATCCGGAACCTTTATCTTTTTTAGAAACTCTTCTGCTTCTTCTTCAGTAACTGCTTTCTTCAGTGGTACTTGGATGTTTTGAGTCATCTTCCCTTTTCTTAATTCTTCTTGAGAATAACATCTTCCAGAGCGTGTCAGCCCTCCTACTTCATCAACCTCTTCAACAATCTCCTTTCCTCGGTAAACCACAGTGATTTTGTTATAGTTCCAAGGGACAGCCTTCAAATCAGTTACCGGAAGCTGTTGGACAAGCTTAACAAAGATAGGTCCTTTCAACTTTGCCAAGCAAAATTGGTCCTGTTGTGTTAATGAAAAACCTTTTGATACATACAACTTCGGCATACCTGCTCGAACTTCAATCCCCTTCGAAACCCCCGGGACACACAAAACTTTGGTATCAAGGTTGACACCTTCCACACTCAAAGATGCAACTGGTTCTAAACTCTTTATCGGCTTATTTTCCTCTCCGATCTTCCTAAACAACTTTCCCATTTTGCCAAGGAGTTTATACTCTTGATCATCGCAGATCATACCCACTAAATTGTTTTGAGCTGGAAGTGGGTTATTAGTCACATTGGGAGTGTTTTGATCATCTGTCACAACGACCACTCCATGATCGATTAGCTTCTTTATCGCCCCCTTCAAGGTCCAACAATTATCAGTGATGTGTCTTGGGGCCCCTGAATGATACTCATATCTTTCATTGGCTTGGAAACCTAGAGCAGTTGGATTCAGACGATGTGGTGGGATAGACCCAATCACTCCTATCTTTCTTAACTTTTGAAACAAGCTGGAGTATGACTCTCCCAATGGAGTAAATTTTCTTTTCTGTCCTTGATCTTGAGCATAATTTTGCATAGGAGGAGGGTTGTAAGGGACCTGATAGGGTGGTCGTTGTGGGCGAAGGTTTCCTTGAGTTGGGGCCCGAAAATGTGGGCGATTGGGAGAAAGCACATATGACTGAGCATTGAAAACCGTGTATGGAGATGGAGATACTGGATATTGAGGGACATAAGGGTAGTAATGTTGAGGATAGCTAGATTGTCCCTGAAGTGGTGGGTAAGGACAATTATAATTCCTTTGAGCACCTATTGACCCTGATACTAGCGAAGAAACTTCCTCTTTTCTTTTGCGATTTCCAAAACTTCCTGAACCACCTTGAATGGCCTGTGTGGTAGCTTTGATTGCTGCCTGGCTCACAATCCTTCCTGTTTTGAGACCACTTTCGACCATTTCTCCGATTTTGATTGTTGTGTGAAATGGTCTTCCCATTGCGACTGTCAGGTGGTGGAAGTAGTCAGGATCTTGAGCCTCTATAAAGATATCAACCAATTCTTGCTCATCTAATGGTGGCTTGACCCGGGCTGCTTGTTCCCTCCATTTGATAGCATACTCTCTGAAGCTTTCATTTGACTTCTTTCTCATATTAGAAAGTGTATTGCGATCTGGCATAATGTCGACATTGTACTGAAATTGTCTAACAAAATCTTGAGCCATATCATCCCAGATGTGCCAGTGGGAGATCTCTTGGTCTATAAACCATTCTGAGGCAACACCAGTTAGGCTCTCACCAAAATAAGCCATGAGCAGTTCCTCTTTACCCCTGCACCTCTAAGTTGATTGCAATATCTCTTGAGGTGAGCTATGGGATCACCGTGCCCGTCATACTTATCAAACTTAGGGGTTTTGAATCCAGGTGGCAGGTGGACATTTGGGAACATACACAAGTCCTTGAACGCGACACTTTTGTGCCTTCCTAGCCCTTGCATACTTTTCATATGTTGCTCGATGCTTTTCATTTTCTTCAACATTTCCTCTTTCTCTGAGACTTGAGGGGGCCTCTCAACATCAATAGGGGAGCCGAATTGTACAGAGTTAGGGCCCCCGAATGCTATCCTAGGAGTATAGTATTGCTCTGGATGGACGGTGAACTATCCCTCTTGAGCTGCTCTCTGCGTCACAGTTGGTTGTGGGAGAGTATAGACCGGTGCAGCTGTCGCGACAGTGGGATTATTCCTGAATGGCATGCCTTGAGGGCGTGTTGTTGATGGTCCGACCCCACAATTATCAAATGGACCATACCCCCGGAGGAAAGAAAGGATCTGATATCGGGACCTGAGAAGACGAAGATCGGATACTAGTGATCTCAGGAAAACCGGGAATAGACGTTGGTGGTTCTTGGCCATTGGCCCAGGCTTGACACAACTGTGCCATAACATGCCTCAATGTCCGATTTTCTTCAACAGTGGCTGACTCTCTTGTCGTTGAATCAACTGGAGTATCCACTGGGTTTACCGCAGTTTCAGTATTGCTTGTCATTGACGTTCTTACCTTAGACCTGGTAAAGTACGGGTGTTCTGCCAGTTTACCACAAACCAACCATCGAAAGCTTACTAAACTAAAGAGAAATGAACAAACTTGTTAGGGGTTAGACAATTTTACACATCAATCACACATTTGTTAATCACATAGTAACAAGAGTTCAGAAGGCCATTGTCTCATCCCAGCTTTGCTTTGTTTTTTTTTTTTTTTAAAGTTTTGATCGAACCCTTTGGAGGTTGCCTACGTATCATGTCGCCGCATGAATCAGATCATTACGTAGTTCAGAAATTTAGACCACTCAACAACATTAATTTAGATAAGCAAAGTCCAACCATTTCATTCATTTCCAAAAAAAAACTTTAAGCAAAACGACAAGATCAATGGGTTTAAACACAACCATGATCAACATGATCTTTTTGAACACCGAACTTTAAACTGAAACACTGAGTCTTAAATAAAAACAAGATAAAACAAACAAACAAACAACCTAAACAACTAAACTCTTCTTCAATCTTCATCATCTTCCTTGGGCTTTCTTTGTCCTCCTAAGGTCACATACAGATTCAACAACACCTTCGGCAGATGGGGAACAATGGCTCGTGCTTGCTCAGCCACTTCTGGATAATTCATGCGACGATGATTCTTAATAACATGGGAGGTTTGTTCCGCCAGCTGATGAACTTGACGCCTAGCCTTTTCCCATATTTTCATAACAGTTATTCAACCAAACCTGATGATCACCAAGATTGTTCCTTAAGAGGGCCTCTCGCTCCTCGGCTGCTTCAAGTTGATGGCGAAGTGTTGCTCTCTCAATGATCATTTTGTCTTTGCCCCTCTTCGATATCAACACACTGACTGATTTTTCTTTATGTTCTTCTAACTCTGCTTTAAGCTGATCATGTAAATGCATCCAACATGACCTTTCTTTCTCAAATTTCTCCTTCCGCCGCTTAAGTTCTCCCCTTTGGTAGTTCACGACCTCTTCAGATGCCACTAAATCCCTCTTCAATCGAGAAATTTCAAAACTCTGCTCCTTTTTTATTTGTCGGGCCAAGTGAATTCTACTATCCAACTCTTCCTCTATCTTTTTTTTATCTGTCGGGCCAAATGAATTCCACTATCCAACTCCTCCTCTATCGAGCTAATTTCCCCTCTGTATTCTTCAATTCCCCCTCCACATCTTGTAACTCCAACTGGTGATTTCTTCATATATGGACTTGAACTTCTTGTCGGGCTATGGTGGCTTTGGCATTCTCCAACTCTTTTTCCAACTGTCATATGGTGTGCTTGTCTTTTCTTTTTCTGCTGGATCCTTCGGGAATGTCACCAAATGTTGTTGGATCACGAAACCACAATAAGTACCCAGGCACCACTTTTCCTTTATCTTACTCCACAACCATTTCACTTAGCTCCGAAATTATACTCCCAAACCAGATCTTCAGAATATCAGCGCTATCAAAAGGCAAAACCTGGCGGGGTGTCAAATACAAATCTACTCATATCATCATTTGGTGGGATTTCTTGTACTCTAGCCAGCTGACGCATAACCCGAAGTGGGGCATAGGGTTGAACACCTCTAAACCCAATCAACACAAGAAACGAGATACCACTAGACATGCATATGACATCCTTAGCTGGGAACAAGTAATAATTCCACACTATTTCATCAGACGTGATCACCGAAAGTTTCTCTTCACACGCTGTAATTCCTTTTGGGAAATCGATTTTTGTTTCTCTTTCCTTATGGGAAGAAACATAATTACACCAGTCTGGAGTGAACCTGGGTGCACGGTCATGGTGATAAAGATGTTCCAAAAACCATATCTGCAACAAGATGTTGCAGCTTTCAAAGTACATTTCCCCATTTATGCATTTAGTCAATGCACGAAATATATCTGCCAGGATCATAGGAATAATAGTAGGACTCTCCATTGTGGTCAACGCCTTCACCACCCCAGCCAGACGAATATCGATATGCTTATCCCGTTTGGGGAAAACAATGAGCCCCAAAAACGCGACCATGAAGGCAAAACATCCATTCGCCTTCCAAGCCTCTTCACCCCCTTGGTTGCTAAGTTGGTTTCGATAGTTTTCAAATTCATCCTTTTGGCCATACCTCTCATATAGAAAGTCCAATGAAACCCACCCATTTTTCAATCTCTCCTTCTCTACTTGATTGATCTTGAGAAGTTCCAAGAACTTTTTGGCATCAACGTTCTTTGGAATTACAGGTTTTTTGTTGCGGAGATCAGCACCCCGAACACTGGACCCCTTCCCCATGAAGCTGGCGATTTCTTCCAGAGTTGGTGTCATCTCGAAGTTAGAAAATTGAAATACATTATTTTTTGAATCCCAGAAAGGAATCAATGCCTCGATCACATCCCTTCTAGGGTCAATCTCCATTAGATGCACTAGATGTCCCAGATGTTATTTTACTCTCCTTTGCTCATGACTCTCCATGTCTGTCCACTATCGCCATAAATTCTTAGGTATTGTGTCAACGATCATGAACTCTGGAATTTCTTCACTTCTAGGCCTTTTGGAACCCTGTCCTTTGGTCGGAGGTGCCATTTGTACCTTTGAATAGAGTCCAAATTAATGTTTTATGACAAACTCTAACCGAGGGAGGGAAGAAGAGTAAACAAAAAATTATTTTAAAAAAAAAACAAAATACCTCTTTTTACAAACACCAAACCCGAGAAGGGATGCCTACGTATCTCATTTTAGTGAGAATCAGGTGTGCGTAGTCATAAAAAAAAACTCACACTTGAAAGACTATCCATTTTATTTCAACCTCTTTTATTATTATTATTTTTTAAAAAATAAAAAATTGAAAGACAAAGCTATCATAAAGCTGGTTGACAATATAAAGGCCTTCTGAACAAATTATTTTCACGTAACACATAAAATGAACATGTTGGTCTAGAGTGGGCACATATCTTAGATTTTCTAGGTCAAATGCAAATGATACAAATAAACGTAGCCTACCAGAGATAGTTTTTGCTAGGTTTAGTACTTTATTTGGAAGGTGTCTAGACTGGCTTACTCGAGTGGACAACTCGAGCTGGGGAGGGTCAGCGTACCAGTAGCAGAGCTATTCCGGCTTAACTGGTGGTCCAACCCCGCCTAACATGTGTGACAAACCTAGAACCAGGAGCGTAACCGCACACTGGCTCATCCTAGACAGAAGTCCCGTGGAGCGTATCCGCACACACAGTGTATAAAAAAAATCTAAAGATTCAGAGAGTGTGCAAGAGGAGGCAATTTATATACAATTACACAATATTAAAACAATGAATCATTGAAATAGCGCAATTAGTCAAAAAAAGGTTATCCAAATATTCAAAATAGCCAAATATAGTAATTTACAAAGTTCAAATTCTAAAGAAAGTCCCCAGCAGAGTCGTCAGATCTATCACACCACTTCTCTTTTTACAATAGTTATGGATACGACGTTTTTATTTTAAAATAAAAAAAATAAAAAATAGAATAAAAATAAAATATAAAACTAAACAAAAAATGATTATTATTTTTTAAAAAATAAAATAAGTCGTCACTTGAAAATGAGATTTTTAGGTGTTCCAAGTCACCTAGTAATTCCTAATTTTAAAAAAAGAGAAAAAAAAATCTTTTTATTTTTAGTCTAACTAAAACAGAGATTAGGTAAGGAATTCTATTGACCGGAGGGAAGGTGTGAGGCACCCCTCGAGTCCCGTGGTTCTAGCACGGTCGCTTTATCAACTAGTGTTTGGCTAAAATAATTTTTGGATAGAAGAATAAATTTGTGTTAGTTACTAATCTTTTTTTTTTAATAAAAAATGATTGACCTAGGAGCGTAACCGCACACAAGATCACCTTTTTTAGAAAGAATACACACTAAGGATCGTAACCGAACACAGGGTGGTATTTAAAGTTTAGTTTATTTTTTCTAAAAAAAGATTGATAATTAATGACTCAAATTTTATTTAATAATGAGCAAAGAAAAAAAATTGAAAAAAAAAAGAACTTGTTGCAACATATAGACTTGAACAAAGATTATTTTTTTAAAAAATAAATAAACAAATAAATAAATATATTAAGTGTCCCTACTTGATGATAACAACAAAAGAAAAAAAAAGTATACATTCTTTTTTTTAAAAATAAAATAAAATAATGACTAGGTCCCTTTTAAAACAACTAATGATATACTAAAAAATTTATATTGATATAATTTCAGGAAAAAAAAACGACCACTTTGATAAAATTTTCAGTATTTCATAAAA